ATAACTCTATATTTTCGTAGGAGGAGTAGAAACTAAAAAAACGGACACTTTTTCGTTTTCCAGTAAGTTTCAATTTCACTGCCAAAGGCAATTAAATAAAATAAAACAAAACGGACAACTAGCTACAACTGCTTTAATCATCAAACGATCAGTTGGACCATATAAAATGACCGCTTGAATTAATGAAAGCACTTTTGCCTGACCGTATTTCGATGAAACTTATGGGAAAATATTTCATTTTCAGTGGAGAGAACTGAAATATTGGTGGTAAAGCGTTAAAATTGGAATGGCCCAGGAATAGTTTCAAAAATGTAAAAAAAATATGATGACATTGTTCTTGATACGTATCCATAATCATTCTCTCTTGTTCAAAAATTATATCAGCAATAAGAAATAAGTCATTATAATGAACATATACTTTTCTTTGCAATATATAAGGAAAATGAGCTGAATCTGAGGTGTTTTTGAATTGAAAATTCAAAGCTAAATGTTCGTATAGTGGTGACTTGCATGTTTCGATTTACCGAGCTCGCAGGAACAAGGGCTTCGCTTTGTCGCCGTACGTTTCCCTGCCCGCACAGTTTATACATGTACATTGATATAAGGCACATATTAACATTTCTTCAGCGTAAATTTGTACTTTACTTACTCTCTTTGGAGGTTCTGGTTCCTTTATTTCTATTTGTGGAAGTTCAGTTCCGTTATACTTTGTCTTGATTTTCTCCTTCAACTCTATTTTAACCTGAGTACTTTCAACTTGGGCGGTAGGTTCGATGCCCAATACGGCGGCTTCGTGGCTGTACGCTACTGGTGGCTAATAAAGAAACAAAGAGTTAAAATTATTCCTTTTCTTCAGCTAAGAATAAGACCAATTCATTTGAGTAAATCAATGATATCTATTCTATCTCTGTATCAAATGTTTACTCACGCATTTGGGAAGGTGTGTTGAGAAGGGTAAAGCACCACATCAGCGTTAAGGGCATTCAGTTTTAGAAGTAAGAGTTAGACTGTATAAAAGCGGCCGAAACATCTAAATGAAGCGCTTTGTTAAGAAAGCAGTCATTTCTAAAATCTCCCTGTTAATACAGGTACTCCCCAGTTCATTCCAACTAACTCTAAAGCGAGTTACGTTATGTTAACTCTAAATCCTTCTGATACTTTTGGACAAACCAGAACTAAAGTATACTGAAGGCTTTTAGCTCACTGACATCTGTATCTCGACTTGATTATCTCGGACTGTATATATATTTATATCCACAAGAGAAAACACTGACATCAATTTCATTTATTGTAGTAAAGCTCGGACGTTTGTTTAAGGATGGTTTCAGATCCGTTGAAGATGTCACTATTGTCTTAACTCAACAGCAGTAAAACCTGAACCCGAAAACGCAGTGATCCTGAACTGCTGCTAGTGTTGATTTCCTTGTAATCCTAGCTAAGTTCCAGGAATTGCGCCAACAATAATATTTAAAATTTATTGAGCCTTCTCTGTGCCCTGAAGCAGATAATCATCACCGTTTTATGCAACGTGTATGTTTGTTAACCCCTTTTTTCCATTAGGAAAGAAGTTGATATCTTACAATTTAGGAGAAGGAAGACGTCTGGAACAAGTGTACTCTTTTTTCACGAAAATTTAATATAGAAATGTTTACAACTAACCTGAAATAAACTAACTGAAATCTTTATGTTAAAAACCTTCGCTCCTCGTACAAGCTATGTAGCCTGTGCATATTCCAAATCAGTTTTTTCCAAATAGCTCAGATTATAGAAAGTAGCGTGATTTGTAACTTACCAACAAGAATTGTTGATTAAATCCTTGGGGGTGAAATGCGCCGTTAAAATTTGCATCCATCGTTGATGAAGTTAACGCTGTCGGCCAAAGATGCTGCTGGTCTATGTCTTCCACGGTGGTTTTCGATTTTGTGAATATGTAAGGCTGTCTCTCCGGGGTTTATTTAAAGACTCATAACTTTGAGGGAAAACCCCCATATCTCATGCGTCCAGGCTATCAAACGAAGATATATAACTCTTCGGAACTAATTTGCATTTCGTACATTACAGTTGTCACTATCTATTTTAGGTATCAAAACAAGAATTAGGTGAATATTGGGGTTATTTGTTTTGTTTTTCTACTAAAAGAGAGCTGAGCGATTCTTGGAAAAAGCGGCATAATAATGAACTTCCGGTGTCACGCAACGTCCTTTCTGTGTACTGCGGACCGGAGGGCGTCTGGAAAACGAATGGAAACGCACAAAACCGTAGTAAATGCGACAATGCGAAATATTAAATAAATACCATAGTTTTAGACTTGATGTATTGCCAACATTTTATGTCCCGTTATTAGCTCCGAAAGGACTGATGAGGCTCTTACCGAAGTGGGCGAAACACGAGACATTTTTAATATCACACTTTTTTTCAGCAGTGTAGCGTAGCGGTGTTAAAAAGTCGCACGTGGGTTTCGATCCCGGAAAAAACTAAACCGGAATCAATGGCCGGAACGAAGGTGCAGTCACAAACCGGTCACGAGTAGAAACGCTATTTCGTTTTTTTTTTCGAGTGTCCCGGTCAGGTATCTCGTTCTGCTTTTTTCTTTGTACCCGAGAGGATGTGTGTTTGTAGACGCTGTAAACATGGGCTTGGCCATCGAGCATTCAGTTAACAGGCATATTAAAATTCGTATTTGGTTAATTAACTAATCAGACCTTTTTTTCTCAGAAATCGCAAGATATAAAACGAGGGTAGGCTGGTTCGTTCTCAGAAATCACGAGCTTTAAGGACTGGGCGGTTGCTGCCCCCGCATTTCTGACCAGCCCAAGGGATGGTATCAACTTTTGAGTACAGGGTCATCTGAAGCGCGAAAGTGAAAGACGCCCCCGCGCGGTGCTTCTCCGTCAACAATAACTGCTAACAAACGTTTTTAATTCTAAAAGATGAGAAAAGAAGAGGGAGATGGGTGAAGGCAATGCCCTATAAAGCCTTACAGGTGGAAAATTTATTTCTGTCTCTCGACGAATACTTAGTAAAGTCGCTATAAAACGGGAAAAACCCTCACATCGTGTGGGGGTCCCGCGCACCATGCACCAGCCAATAGAATGATTCATTACGCAATCTTTTGAAAGGCAAGGAATACTGATCCACGACAACAAGCAACAAGCAATTCCTTGATATTCGTGGTAGATCTTTACTGTTGCTTTATATCTTCGAAGCCGTAGACTGGGCGGGATGGGGAGAGAGACTTGGTTTCGTGTCAAAAGGACATTCATGTTACCCGCTGGTTGGCACATACCCGTATATGTATGGCTGAACATCCCCCGGGAACCGGCCTATATTATAAATGAAAAGCTAGGAGAGGGAGAGATAATTATATTTCCTTACAAAATTGTCTTTATTCCAAACAATTATAAAATTCGTGCGTTAAATATGTCCAGTTTGGTACTATTCAGATGCAAATGATATGCTCCATCTGGCAAGTGACAAGTGGCTAGCGCTTGGAGGTTCAATAAATTACGTAAATGATCTTGGTCACGCTCCAAGTAGAATTCTGCGAAACAGGGCGTGACGGCGTTAAAGACGCGCCCATTTCTTGTTAATGCCTGCGCAAATTTATGAGTTCAAAAAAAGATAGGATATAAATGAAACGGGATTTCCTTCAGTTTGGAAGAACAAGGAAAGTTACACGTCTAAATTTTGTGTCCGAATCCTTTGATAGATAGTTCAACAGGAAGATGGCCACGGGGAGAAATAATGGATAACATATTCATATTGTTTGCATCAAAGATTATTTCAATATCACAGTCTCGTATTTCATGATTGCTCACGTAATCGAATACAAAGTTCTAATAACCTCTACTAACTTTGCCTTTCGCAGAACCACTTTGTTTATATTTATTAAAGTCAAAAATAAAAAATTGCACATAACACATGTTCCAGCACAACAGAGACGTATTCCTTAGTTCCAAGACCGCATGTATTACAAGAGAAAACGGAAGGTACTAAATTATGATTGCAATTAGCGACACAACCTCTCGGAAAAAGCAGATTGTTTGTGTTCCGGTTAGTTCACGGTATAAAGATTGATTTCTTCCGGTCTGGTCACGAATTTGTGTTCAGTTGTTTACTTTTTTTCCTGTTTGGTCACATTATAACTTTGTCTTTTACCGGTAAAAGTATGCTAAAGACCTCCTGTTTTGTTATATTTTCCACAAAATTTCAGTTTCTTGTTTCCTCTTTTTCGTGCTTATTACTTTACTGTCCTGTTCCGCTTTTGTCACGAAAATTTTGTTTGGTCTTCCAATTTGTCACGAAAATCCCACTCGACTTCCGGTTGACAAGTAGTGAATTTCCGTTGACCAAAAAAATTGCCGCAACTTTTTGGCAAGTGACAATTTTTCATCACTTTAAGAAACTTTAAGTGACAAGAATTGCTTTCTATCAAAACGTTCCTGTTAGTTCGCACCACAAGGAATATAACTGACATACCCGTAGGCTATACAATAAATTGCTTTATATATTTAAACATCAATTCTCGTTTATAAACCACTAGTCCATATGTTCGTTCACTACGCCTAGTAATAAATGACCTATGTACATGTAGTACAAAATTTTTTCTCTTTTGTCACGTGAAAACTATTCTTACACCCTGCATGCTCCAATTTGAAGCCTTATCTTTAAAGGCGGTCATTACTTCACTGCTAAGCACAAATTTGATTTCCAGTAGCCGACCAATACATCCGCCTATCATAGGCTAGATTTGCGGAGATCTGCAGCCATTTGTAACGGTTGTGTTCATGGATAACATAATCATACCATCAGGCGTTTCAGAGAGCTTGCTAATTTCTCATCTGCGATGCCAAATTTTTGAGCGCCCATGTAATTCATGCAATGTCGAGGATGAAAGCAGCGAACGCTTATTGCTTCTCTGATCTAACACCGCCAAATGAGCTCTGATTCCAGTAGTCCCACTGGCACATGTTTGAGCACTAAGGATGTAGTTGAACCATTCAGTGTACTGTAGGTGCATCAGAGATCACGGTAGCTCCATGTTTATCCCACAGCTCCATAGCTTTACTAACCATTCTGACAAAACTGTCCTCAGGCACGGGCTGGGGATAAAAATTCAAAAATTCATTGGTTTCCCTGGGATCGGTAGCCACGAAGACAGCTTAGAAATACGTCATGCTAAGCTAAAAAATAGCTTTCAGGATATGGATTTCAAACATAGCGAACAAGGAATGCCTTTCGTAATAACGACCGCGCCTGACCATTAGATTATCGGTTTCATAACTGTCAAATGTCGCGCTCTATTCATTAATTAACTAAGGGCTGTTTCAAACGTCGTGCTACTGCCGAGCTAAACTGGCTCGACTGTAGCTGGACTCTAGCACGACATTAGCACGACTTGGTTTCAGACGGTGAATTTAATTCACACAATGAAAGTCGAATGGAACGACTGTTGCCAAAAACAAAACACAAAAACAAAGAAACTGTTTAGCATACTTTTAAATATATTATAAAGTATTTATAATTCATGAACTGGGCCTAAGGTGTTTCGATACAGTTTTTCACAGGCCATACCGATATTTTTCAATCGCCTTAAAAGTGGTTTTTCCCAATCCAATCGCTATGAAATTTTCACCAGTAACTGGCTATAGATTGAAATTTGTGAAAATGTAGTTTTAAGTAAAGAGGACATTACACGGTGGCGCGAAGATATGAATTTTATTTTCGAGTGGCACGAGGACATTACTAGTACATTTCAGTGTGAGTATTGTCAATGTTTTACATTCAAAAGATGCGATAAATTCAAACTAAAATGTACTAATCATGAGGTATGTATAGTGCGCATTATTTTCGAAAAATTAGCATAACGTCAAAACAGTGAATGTTGTAACGCAGATTTTTGACAGGTTCGTAGGATAGGTTTGTCTTGAAATTTCAAGGTGTTGCAGAGAACCAATCTCAATGAAAGTTTCAGACATTATTGTATACAGTATGAAGATTATCTGAAGAGATTTTAAAAAAATTCGTTGGAGTCGTTTCAGGGATATACCAAAAAGGGCTAAAAGTCCAAATTTTGAATGAAGTTGCACTTAGACAGGTGGTGAGAAAACGGTTTAGTTTTTAAGATCGCAAGGAAGAAAACACACCGAAATTTCCTAGCATCGAAATATGATATTAAGCAGGATTCTGACCCTACTTAAGAATAATTTGAGTCGTTTATAACGTTTTTATTGAATAATCTATTACGGCTATTGAAAATTTAAGGTTTGAAATATATTTTTGTTTTAGTCGAATTCAAACATACAGAAATTTTTACCTCTTACGCAGGCTATTTGCTAAACACCAAACTTTAAGTTCCTAGTGTTGAATTTTCAGTAGCTGGTCTAGATCACACAAAATTCGGGTTTTATCAATTTCAAAGTTTTTTGTTTATTGTCGTCATAGTAATATCGATTTTACTTGAAACTACATTTTCAGAAATTTCAATCTATAGCCAATTACTGGTGAAAATTTTATAGCGATCGGACTAGGAAAAAACCACAGTTAAGGCGATTGAAAAATATCGGTATGGCCTCTGAAAACCTGAATCGTTCTGTACCTTACTGAGAAACGTGTTTACTCCCTGGGCTGACTTTTCCATAAGCAGGGGATGCCTGAAGACCAGCAGCAGACTAACAGCGACAAAAACAAGTATCTTACTGGAGCCACAAACTACTTTGTCCCAGATCCTGCCGGCGGGGAGAGGAAAAAAATTAGAGGGCCTTAAAAAACTAACATGAACTAAGACGGCAACGTTAACGAAAACGTCAGGAAAACAATAGGTTTAGTGAGTACAGAAAAAAAAAACACAAACACACACACACACCAACAACTCTGCTACTACGATAGGCTGATTTTATAGCAACAGAAAGGGAACGTCAGTTGACGACGGCGCGCGCAAATCGAACAACTGGCTTAACCAATGGCAGAGGGGCATATTGGGCACCGGAAGTCGTGTTTAGTCCTTTCCGCGCGCTTTCCCGTCGTCAACTGACGTTCCCGTCCTGTTGCTAAATCATGCGGGCGCTAATTCAAAAATTTACCCTAACTGAATATAAAGTATACTTTGTAGCCTATATAATTAAGGTAGTCCTGGAAAGAGTTAACGTTTCTTTTTTCACATATTCTGACTGACCTTTCCATGCATGAATCAGGAATATCTTCAGCAAAACCACTTTCAAACCACCTTGAAATAAGTTAGACAGAATATAGGGTACAATGAAAGACGCTGTAGTACAACAGGCTTATTTTACTATTAAACATTAAACTGGCCTAAAATTGACCATTAGAACAAGATACATTTATCAACACCATTACCGGTATGTGCAATAATGGACAAGTCTTATCTAGAACACAATCATGTGGTGACAAAATTACTTTAAAACTGGACCGTCCACTCGGATCCAGTAACAACTACTTCAATTTATAATGGACACGACAGTCCATCTAGGATGAGCAAACGTCCTTAGTATATTTTGTTATGGGTCTCTTAATTATTCCACTTTACATTCGGCAACTGAACTTTGTAACCTTCTTTTGTAAAAAACAGTCGTTTTTCCTTGCTCCTTGCCGCTTGGGATATTCGACAGCAAAACGTCCCAAGCAACGAGGAGCAAGTAGAAAGGGCTGTTTTCGCAGGCTATTAAAACCAGTTTCAGACCAAATTAATACGTAAATTTCCTCCCTATTTCCGGACTAAACTGCTGTTGTAATGAGGAAAAATAAGAGGAATACCTAATTCCAGACCCTGGTTCCAAAAACAGAAGAAACATTATCCTATTTCATCCAAACTTAAATGGCGAAAAAACTATACACAATCTCGGACCAAAGCAGGCAAAATAACATACACTTTAGTGCCCCAAATACATATAAGGGAGTATCCCTCCTCTAGGAATAATATTTCTAACACACAAAATATGTTTAACATTGTCATAGCACAACGAAGGTAAGTTGATGGCTAGGATGTGAAACATGATAGTGCATAGGCATGCCCATTGTAGAGGTAGTCCTAAAATAAGCTGTATTCTTTAAATAGGATAGTTGGGTTTAAGTAGAGCTTGTTTTTCTTCTGACAGTCGATGATCAAATTATGTTCAATCGTGCGCAATAAGGTTTTTCCTCTAGACATAAGAATACTGTTTATGCACGTAACACAAAATCAATTCAATGTAACCTTTTAAGAGGTATGATCTCAAATGCTTCAATATTGAAGAGATGCTTGTAAAGTTGTAAATCCTCAGTCCGAAGATAATACTGAATCAACTTTGCCTGCAAAATTTCAAATAGCAGTGTTAGGTAGATGTTTCAAGTTGATATACATGTGCAGCTACAATAAAAGTCAAGCCACATTAGCTTTCTGCACACCTGCATAAAATCATCTTGTTACCACAGATGACAGGTATCTTTAGTCCTGGCAAAATAAAAACCCTTGCAGTTGTGTACTGTAGTTTGAATATTGATAACCAGGGTTCATACTCTTTTGAGCTTATCAATTTTCACGCTGCCACTTTCAAAAGTTTTCGAAACTTTCGTTGTTTTACAATGCACAATATTTTTTGACCTAATTCAATGCAACAGACACAAACTCTGGTGTCCACCAAAATGTTGTTGTACTGTCCAATTACTTGTCTCTATCTTTGTCCTTGCTTTGACAACTGCAGTAAATAGTATACCAAACATAAATTTATTTTTCCAAGACTTTCCAGGCATGGAAAGGATTTTCATGCCCATACAAACCCTGGATAACAAATACACAAGTATGGGAATGTCATTACTATTTATATGTTTGGAATGTTTGTGTTGTCTGTTGCTAATCAAAATGAAATTCAGGTCAAACCTACCTTCCTTTACTAATTAAACCCATAATTATTCATGATCATGATTAATTAGAACTAAGAGTCAAAGGAAATATTGAAAATCAACCTATGTTGAAACCGTGTTGACTTAAATCAATATTTTGACCTACAACATTAAAATTGATTTCAAGGATTCTAAATACATTTTTGGCAAAATAACAACTCAGGTGACTGGACAAAATGACAAGCAACCGAAGCAGGGATGTAGATGATAACCGGGAGCCGGGGAAAATACCCGCCTCTCAACATATTTTTTCTGGCTGATAAAAAATTGCAGTCTTTAAAAAGGCAACTGTTTTCTTCTCATATTACCGGCCCACCAAATGCCATTTTCTGTGTGTTATAAATTTAAGCTACATGCCTGCTGAAAGATTTCCGTTTTCAAGTCTGTCCTTACATTGCCTCTGAATAAGTTTTATTTTAAGCCACAAAATACAGATGTTAGGCTAGTGGCTAACATGCAAGCAAGCTCTCAACGCATGGGGGTAGGAGCTGCCTCCTCCTCAGGCACTTCATTTTTCACATGGTTTCGCATAGAGGCCAGCACAAAACGCGAGTGACTGGTGAAGAAGTGCAACAGACAATGGGAAGGGTAAAGAAGGGAAGCAATGTCTCACATGTTTTCTCCTTCCTGCCTTCCTTTGTGCACAAATTTTCATAGCCTGCGAAAACATCCGTTTCTCCTCACTTTTTGCCACTGGGGATGTTTCGCGAGGAGGAACGTCTGCGACTCAGCGACAGACATTCCATACTGATGACGTAAAATCTGCCCAGAATCCAGTCAGAAGCGGTGATTGGTCGACGGAGTAGTTACATTGTTTTAGCTGTTGTTTACGAATGACAGACAAAAGACAAAAGGCCACAAAGGACAAATGTAAACGCAAAGAATCTCGAGCAAAACACTCAATATTTGCGGAATAAACTCTTCTCTAGAAAAAGTGTTTGAGTTTTGCTGGAGCTCGTTGGCAGACGAACACAACACTTCACCAAAATCGACCAGAGGACATGTAAAATTGGACAAATTTGTATTTGGAACCCCATGATTACCAGATTTATTATGTAAACATTGATTTGCATCATTAGTATGGAATTTCTGCCGCTGAGTCGCAGACATTCTTCCACGCGAAATGTTCCCAGCAGTGAAGAGCGAAGAGAAACGGATGTTTTCGCAGGCTAACATTTTCATTGAGACAGAGACGTCTGGGTATGAGGCACGGGATGGAAGGTCTTCCCCACCTGAGAACTTTCTCACTTTCCTCATACCCCTAAGCCCCAGTTAAGAACTTACTCACTGACAAACATTGCCCTAAAAACTTAATGGAAGTGGAATAATGAGCATTACTCAGTACTTAAAATGTTACCAGTTTATCTAATTGGGCAGCTGATTGGTCCAGACATTTCATAAATTTGACAGACAACCAGTAAAGATCAACCTCATCATCAAACATATCCATGAAGACCTGCACCACAGCTCTCATGGCCTCTGCTTTCCTTTCAAGTTTCTATATGAAGTAGAGTTAGTAACATTAAGTAAACTAAAGAATTAAAGTAAAGAATTTCAAAAAATGGAAAATGAGCACATAAAAACAATTTCAAGACAATTTTTATGGATATTCCTCAGGTGAAACTACCAATTTTTGTGCAGAAGTAATGAACAGTTAATGACAAGTTAAGTGAAAGCATGGTCACATGGTACACATCTATCAGCCTGTAAGGTCATTGCAGCCATTCAGTCACTGGTACAAAGAATGCACGCTGGAGTGTGAGAAATGCACTGAAACAAGACAAACAAAGAGTTTACAATATTAATTGAAAAGGTATTTTCCTTTTTTTGTTTTTTTTTTTTCAGTGGTTTTCTTGCTCTCCAATATAGTGCAGTCTTTGCCTGCAGTGGGGACAAAACAGTAGCAGTATGAGAAAAATACCGTAAAATTTCGAAAATTAATCCCCGGGGCTTATATTTTTCAAAGGTCCTTTTTGAGGGGATTATTTTTTGAGGGGCTTACATTTGGAAGGGCTTATCTACGGAGAGAAATTTGCATTTCAAAATCGATTAAGCTAGGCTTATAGTTGGAAATAAATTTACTGTTTTTGCTTTGTTTTACTCTGTATTTGAGGGCAACTTTCCAAGTACAAGCCCCTGGGGGGCTTATATTTGGAGGGGCAATTTAATGGAGGGTTTTTTGCGTTTCCGGTTTGAGGGGATTATACATGGAGGGGATTATTTTCGGAATTTTACGGTAAGTTATCAACATTGTCTTGGCACAAGTGTGTAACAATGAAAATAACCTGAATCCCTCATAGGATTCAAAGCCAGATGACATTCTAAACAGTTGATAGGGTCCCGGCCAGTTTTTAGCAGGTCATAACTTCAAGTTCCTATTTAGGAGTCAAGAGCTTTTTGTCTGTCCAAAGTTTGTGTAACGATGAGTTTCATCTTTCTACTAATTATTGTAATTTAGACTTGTTGGTAATTAAACCAGCAGGACTGGATTGAATGCTCTCTTGTGTAGATCTTTCAATGCCATTTCGATGGTACTAATATCACGGAAATGCATCTTGCAACATATGACACTCCCAAAGAATTTCTCACCCCATTACCCCAGATTGCTACCCATCATCAATGCATTTGACTAGCACAGTGGTGAGAGCGGGGGTCTTTGCATTTTCTTTATAAAATAATGACTGATGAGCAGAAATTTCTTTGTTATTCTTAAAGAAAATGTTCATACTAAGCCAAGGATTCCATCTCAAGTAATGGATCATTATACGTTTCTGGGAAACTGCCCACCTACCCCTCCCCTAAGCCAACATTTTGCTCTAAGTGAGAAGTAAGTAGTTATGTTGGCTTAGGGGAGGGGTAGGCGGGCAGTTTCCCAGAAACATAAAATGATCCCAAGAAACCTTCCCAATCCATCACTAGTAGCTTCCTAAGTTTAATGAACATGGTTACCTTGGGTAGGTTGACGAACCTCAAGGCTCCTTCCTCTAACAGGTACATCATGGATAACTGGAGGGAAAGCTCATCTTCATCAGATATCTTTCTCATGACTATCAAGGCATGCTTGAGGTCATTAACATGTTCACGACGCTGCTGAATGACAAACTGGTGTGCATCACGATAGGGAGGAATGACACCTGTTTTTCACAAAAATAACACTGTATCATGTACCACTTAACTTTAAATCATAAGTAGTGGCAGATTCAGACCTACAGATAAGGGGGCAAGGGGTGGGGATGGTCACCCAGACCCTGAGATAAGTGGGCGGGGCAATCTCAAAAAAAATTTTTTTCGGCCCTTCGAGCCTCAGTTTAGTCTAAAAATACTGGGGAGGCCCGGGGCTGTCCCCTGGATTGGCCACTGATAAGAGTGTTTTGATAATTCAGTATTTGTGTGAGAAAAGCAGAGTTCTCTCTTCATTGATTCACATGAAAGTTCTTAAGCTTGGTGTCAGAATCCTTCATTGGTGACTTGTTGTTCTGCCTATGAGTTGTTAAGCTAACATCGTGTTCGTTAACGTCTTATGTTGTTCTGCTTAAGAAATGAAACGAGCACTGCGCATGTATATACCTTGTTGTCTCAGCCATGATATGAAAAAGAGTTAGTGAGATAAGCATGTACATGTATATACCTCATTCGTTTAGCCACTGATCAGGCAAAAGCAGGTAGGGAACTATGGCCCATTTCAAACGTCGTGCTACTGCTGTGCCTAACTCAATTGATCAAATTAAATTTGACTTTAGCAAGGCAGTAGCACAACATTTGAAACCAAGGTCATGCTACTGCCGTGTAGCATGGCAAGCCTTGTTGTGCTACATGGCAGTGGCTCGACTTGGTTTCAAACATCGTGCTACAGCCGTCCCGAACTCAATTCATAAGTTATAAATACATTAGAATACATTTAAAAGTTTGCTGAACCGTTTCTTTATTTTTGCGTTTTGATTTCGTCAACAGTCGTTCTATTTGACTTAAACCGAGTCGTGCTAGTGTTGTACTGTAGTCGAGCTACAGTCGAGCCAGCTTAGCATAGCAGTAGCACGACGTTTGAAACAGGCCTTTAGACCTAACACCAGGGTTGTCAAAAGTGGCCGACTGCCGACAAAAATGGCCGCCTACTTAGTTAGTATCGGCCGGCTACTCTGCTTGGCATTTCTTTACAGATGGCGTTTTTAAAATAAAATATCCCTGGATTGGCCGCTTACTTTGACAACTCAGCGGTCTACTTCAAAACTTTCTGACAACCCTGCTAACACGTAAGCGAAATGATTTAACACGTTAGCAAACAGGACGTTGGTGAAAAGACTCGTAGGGGAAACAACCATATTTAAAAACCCCACCAACTGGCTGTGCAGAAAAGCATCTCATAACATCCTGATACTGAAATTAAGAACACACCAGTTTTAATATTCAACTGCTACATTCTGCTAAATCTTGCATACGTATTTGCTTAGATTGGGGCAGCCTTTTTTAATGAAGCATGAATTTGAGTCCAGCATGACCATTTACAGTGTGACTGGGAAAAACGTGAACACTTGAAATATCTCAGGAATGTTTACTGTGTTATGACCAATCACAGCAAAGATCAGGACAGACTAATTAACGGCCTTGCTTGCAGTTTAGTTTTCTCATGCCTGATTGGCTTTTCTCTTGCAAGACAATAACATTCCAGAAATATTTCTGGCGCTCACGGTTTTCCCGGTTTGACTGTAACTTATAAGGCTTCGTAAACCAAGGCCAGTAAAGCAACTCGCTTACCTAAAATTACTTTCCACACGTGAGTTCTGTATATAGCGGGCAAGCTAAACCGTGTACTAAACGTCGAAATTCGCTTCACGTCTGCAAAAATTAAAAGACAAAAAGTACCCTGTTCCAGGCGTTTCAGCAGGCTAGTCTGAAACGAGCTAGACAATATTAAGCTGAATCAAGGGACGTACATAGCCTTGGTTTCTTAAAAACATCATTGATCTCAGAGAATATTTAATCACCTATGGGATCATCCTTCAGTAAAATTTCCAGTGCTTTTCTCTGCTCTACGTTTCGAAGCCCCAAAGTGTCATAGTAAAGGGTGCGAAAATTTCGCCCGTCTTTGTCCGCCATTTTGAAAGGTACATCTTTCCGTTATGTATGTGTCATGAAATGTGACACGATGACATTAGTTGTGGGGTGTTTAGCCTGCTAGTAGCACACACGAGTTTGTCACATGTTGACAGAAAGAGGTCTATTGGCAGGGAGAATGTTTTTTTTGTTGTTTGGCCTTAATACAAAGTGTATTGTATTGCTAAATGCCTTAACGCTTATAGAGGCGATTTGCCCAAAAATTCACCTCCCAAGAATGAAAAAGTCCTCTTTCGGTCGCACGTCCGTCTTTGCTTTAACTCCCTAGCAACGCAGAATTTGATCGTTAAATAATTGAATGAAACAAAGACATTTTTCGTACCACACTGGGTTAATACGGCTCCCAAGTATGTACCATCCAGTAGGCCAAATCATACTGGCCAAACGTCTATCTTCACATGCGACAAATTGGAGAACAATTTATTTTCAGGCATGAGCGTTAGGTTCGTCATATTTATGTGCAGTGGAAAGATCTTGTATATGGAAATTAGTCAGCCTAGTCCCTAAGCGTTCTCTCTTGCTCCATTGTCCGCGCGAAGTCTGGGACTCTCGGTGACGTCACAGCTCACGATAGAGTCCAGGGCTGACCGAGCCGAGAACGCCTAGGGACTAGGCTGGAAATTAGTGATGACCTGTCCCGGTCACAGGTCGAATTGACTTTGCCTACCACGTTCACTTTCTTGTATTTTTGTTTTTTTTCACTTTTTTGTCAACGTAAATCTAGGGTTGAATTATTTTTTTTTTACTCCCTTAGCTATCCCTTAGATATGGTATTTTTTTCTTCAGAAAATAAGAACCTAAATAGCCTAAGAATGCGCTAACGATGAACTACCATTTAGATAAAAACCTGTTTAGGCTAACGTGGAAAACTCTAGGTTCTTAGTCGCGGGGTTTTACTGATATATTTTAAAATCGTATTTTCTTCAGACGTTTTTTTGTAGGAAACGAACATCCTGTTTCAGTTATAAAGATCTCATTCCTTAGCTTTTAAAACAAACCATTTTGAACTCAGTTTGAACACAAAGTAACCTTCGCGACCCGCGACATTTTATTTCAAAGCTTTCCTTTCGATTGAAATTACAATACTTGATACGTAAGATTATAAGCTCTGTCGCCATTGTGTCGCGAGTGCCCTCGTTCGTTTAACCGTTGACATCAAATTGAACGAGATACTTCCCTTTGACTAATGTGTCCTATGTCTGTTTAGTATCGCATTGAAGAAAATTAAAATCCAAAGAAAATTTAATTTAAATTACCAAAAAAATGACATCTAGTTTCGTTGCATGTTATCAAATTCGATCATATTAGAACTTTAATTGCGAATTTAAGGAGAAGAGTGAAACAGCCTAAGATGGAAATGGATTGTTAGGTCAGAAAGTTAGGCAGACATTTTGAACTGACAGTGTCTAAAAATTACACCAGCTGGGTACAACTAATGTCTATTCATTTTTATTTCCTTTTTTATGTGAAAAGTGACAGTACAATTTAACTTAGAAATCAATTGCTTTGCAGAGTTTTGTCAAACAACAGGCAACATTTTGTTAATTAGAACTTTTTTCTATATGTTCTTCCGTCAGCACCCACCAAAACATAAACACTGAAAAAAAAATAACTCTTTTATTCACCAGATTGATTCTCCTTCTGGATATCTAATGAACTATTTAGGAGCTATTTTTGAAGTCGCCTGGCCTCTGTAAAATACATTTCGGGTGTTAAAATAATATAATAAAACAACAGGACAAAAATATATTAACAGCCTTCTTGTCTAAGATATCCGAGCAACGATGAGGAACGACGTAATTTAGAAATGCGATTTTTTTTCCGTTTTGAGGAGGCTTAACAGTACCATGTTGGCACAGTTGGATTGCCGGACTTAACGAAACGTGTGCTGACAAGACAATAACTTAATCTTGTTTACTTATGGAAACTGAAGAAGGAACACCAATTGTCTGACTGTGGGCTGACAAATTGTTATACTTATATTTTTATCCAGAGGAGTTTAGCTCATCTGGAGTGCACGTAACGTTTTTTTTAAGGCAGAGAAATAAAACAGAAAATAAGTAGATTAAAGAGAGGTGCCCCAAGCGCCAACATTGGACTTGAAAAGATCAGAACGTACGCTTTTAATAAAAGGCCGGTGGACTACGAAGAAGAACCGGGACCAAAAAGGTTGCTACACTAGTATGAACTTTAAAGTCGCTAAAAATGCACATTAGCCAACCTTCAGGGTTTGTCTTTAAATAAACTTGAATATCAGGAACCAGATTTTCGCCTGTCTTGATGATAAATCATTTAACCAAGACCAGTTGAAGTACCGTCTACAAATTTGTCTTATTTTGGTTCGATTTCTTGTGTTATGCATGGTGCTAACAAATTCTATCGCTCTGTTTTTACGAAGCCACGTTCAAATTGTCGTTACCCCTTTAGGGAGATATTTTGTTAGTAAACATTTGGTTGGTTAATTTGTTCTTTAAATTAAATTGGATGTTCTCTTACGCTCGGCTTTAAAAACGTACGTCTTAGCTCAGCAAGCATTATTTGTTATGTTTGGATGACTGACGCGAATACCGAATGATCGATGCGTAAGAGACTCTCTTTAAAATACAAGATATGAGTTATAACAAATGCGCCACTGATAAACTGATAAACTAACTTTCTTATGTCATATCTAAAAACTAAATTTGCTTGGTATAACGCAAGTCAAGCTTTTGTCCGCAAAGTAAATGTAGTGGGAGTACTTCAATCGGCTTTGCTTTGTTTGTGTTTGGGCGTTTGGCTCTTGGTCAAAACTGTAAAAGAAAAACCTTAGCTATTTCCTAGGAAAGTCATTATTTCGAGTACAAGTTTAATTCTCCCTTGGTGGTAATTTTAAGCTGGTTTCCCGTTCTTTTGTAGGCTTGGCAAGTGTTATCAAAATTAATCAGCAGATTTTCCTCAAAGTTGCAGTTTTCACTACTCTGGATTATGAAGTTGTTTCCACGCAAGTGGGCCGCCTTGATAATCTTTGAATACTTGTAGGCGTGTTTCTATAAACATGGAATTTCTGTAATTATACTAAAAGACTTTTTTTTGAGTCAGAACAAAAAGGAAAATTTTGCGACTGATCGGTAAGGTGGTCCAAGATCGCCTCAGTAAATGGCGCGATTAATTTTCATTCATCCATTTAAAGGTCATTGAGAATTTTTTAGCAATAAGCAACTTCCTCTGTATGTAAATCGCGGAAAACGACTATTTATTTTTTCAGAGGTTCCAGAAACGTCTTCAAAGATAAAATCAGGTCAGAGGCGATAATTACTAGTTTATAAACTTGTGAACTAGAAAATATATTTAGATTTTCCCCGCTGAGCAAACAAGCTATATATACCTCCTGTTTTCATCCTTTGTTCAGCGACTGCCACAAATTCCTTAAAATAAAAAAAAACATTTTTTGAAAACATGGCTGGTTAGGAAGGAAGCAATTGTCGTTTATTATTTGCTTTTTGACGCATTTATGAATAAATGTGCATGTGACTTGCTTAGCAAGGACAGATTACAGTAGTCGGCTCCGTGCGAACTGAACCAGTACGTACTTGAAAGCCACCCGGTTCTGGCCTCAACATGATCCCCAAGGCGGCTGTGGTATTTGTGATGCTGTTGTCATATGATGTTCTATTTTGCAGGTAGGTTTTTTTGTGTTTTGTTTAGCATTATAGAAGGATTTGACCCAAGAGAAGAAGGGCCAGTTTCTTTGATTGAAAAGCGCCTTTGGGTTAATTACTCTATTCAGAATTAACTCTTTGTAATAACTCAGTTACGAACGGAAAACTCAACATAGAGAGAAAATCCCCTTTTTCTGTGGATTACAGAAAACCCTGTTGTCTAGCAAATGTTTAGCTTGAAAAAATTTCTGCTTTCAATCATAACCGGCAACTAGCACTTTATCCCTGGCTGTAAATGACTGTGCGTTTCATATTAGTTTCTAATTTTCCATTAAAAAATAGTAAAACGTGAAAAATAAAGAAATTTTAGTTCTGTTGTAACAAAACCTGTGGCCCTCGGGATCCAATTCTGAATTACATAGAGTCAACGTTTCAGTAAAAGTAATTTGAACTTATAGAAATTCCTCACGAAAACACCTGTCATGCAAAAGCGGCTAAAATTAATTATTATCCTAAAACTGAAGGATTGGAACTGCAGAATAAACTGGACAATCGTGACTATAAAATAAATTGAGTGGGAAGATGAGCGAAAGCGTCACTCGGCTTAATTAAGTTTCACTATCACTTCGCGGGGTTTTGGCGTCGAACGATTGATACCGCATAAAAATTAAAAATCTTTTTGGGTTCCTCGCATATAAGCTCTTTATTATCAGCCTTTTATCTGCCATTTCTTTTCCCAGCCACCTTATTAAATTGCACTCTGAAAGTTATTAAAAAGACGCGTGTAGTCTCTGGACTTTTGTTAACCGCAAAAGTTGGATTTTTCACATGACGGGAAAGTAGCGCTGGCCCGGCTGGTCCTTGTTTCAACAGTATTTTTCTCTCTGTATTCCAGGGCATCGGGACGATCTGGATTTGACCTCAACGAAACATCGTACCATGATTTCAAGGATTATGCAGGTTTACTCGAAGACAAAGTACCGAGAAAATCGATCAGTGGCGCAGATAGTGAGTGGACAATATCACTGGGAGGTTCATCCAGTAACCTTTCATTGGAATATCTAAGCAATTCGTTAAACCTAACTGAACAAGAGTTAGATTTAAGGTAGGGTAAGGAAAGACTTTTATTCTACTGATTAAACTACTCCGCGATGACCTTGCAAAAAGGCGAATGTTACAGGAAGCAAATGTAGGAAGTTGAATTCGATAGCTTCATTCGATAACTGCTGTGATTTCGACTTTTGCTGGATTAGGCCTTTTAAATCCACCTAAAGACTATAGAACGCCCAAGAAAAAACAACTTCCTAAAGCTATAGGCGTCAAGCATTCGCTGAGAGGGAGATTCTTTAATGCGGCTGGGCGTTTCGTGCGCAGTCAATCAAATTTAAGTAGAATTTTAAAGACGCGGCCATGAGTCAGCAAACGATTGATTGTCAATAGAAATTAACGTTTTTAATTGATTGCTTTTAATCTTTTCATCTAATGAAAACGCATACACGACACGGAAAGCATTGAGTAGAAATGCTTGGCTCTCAGGCAATTTTACTACCTGTGATCGCTGGGTTTTTTTCCTTTTCAAACCCTGTTACCTCACGATTCATCCGCAACACTGAAAAACTTAAATGACGGGAAGGTTTAAAACCACGCGTTGGGCCCGTTATTAAAACAGTGTTTAACGGAACCGCCTTCTAACCCATTTCAATTCTGACCGACCCTCACATCTTGGCATTGTTTGATGTGAAAAGCGACAAGGAGTCTTACAATACTGACTTTAATGCTAGTTTTTTTACTGTATTCATCTGCCTAAAACAAATACAGACCTTACGAACACTGAATCAGCTAAGAGGCTCAACAAGTGTCTTAAACCCACAAAGCTCTACTTTAGTTTCCCCCTTACAGCTGCTAATACATGCATTCTACGTACCTGATGCATTCTATCAGCAGAGTAATGTCCCTTCGTGGATTGGCGTAACATTTGTACCACGGGAAAAACGTTCAAGACTTCAAGACGGGAGATTATAGCTTAATAACACAGTGATTTTCATTAAACGTTTGTTTCTTAGCTACGAGACAATATGGTATTTGGACGGCGAAGAACGACGCTCAATAACAATAAAACGAGCAGGGGAGCAAACACCCCGAGAGGAGAATCTGGACACCAAGAACACTCACCGTGATGCAATAAAAATCAACAGGTACTGTAGTTTCAATGCCTATATGATTAATAGAAAACGTTTAAAAGGTGAACGTGATCTTTATTCTACCGCAAAGATTATGTTCACTTTCATGTCTTTGCGTACAGTTCAAGATATGATTCATTTCATGAATTTCAATTCGAAAAAAGGAAAAGGTTTTTTAATCAAGTCCCTCGGACGGCCGCGAAACACGAGTATTTTGTAAGCCAAAAACGGGTTGACGGTCAAATTGGCGAAAATAGGATCAGGCTGCATTTTGTTTAACGTTCAACGAGAAAAATTGTGGCCTGACTTTCATTGGTGTATCTCCGCTTGTATGTGAAAGTTAAGTCAAATTTGACTGTATAAATATCGATATTTCAGTCCCCGACGCATCCGTACGTCCTCAGTGTCGTCACGAAACGCTTCTCTCCACGTTAAGAATCAGCTAAACCGAGTGAGATTTTCTAAGCACGTTCATCATTTCTCTATTTCAGGGAACAACCTCGCGTGAAATCCAAGCGACGGATCTTTGGTAACGACGATCGGAAACAACTTCTGCCGAATTCTTTTGAAGCCCAGAAAATCCCTCACTCAGCCGCATGCAAAGTGGCTTGTAAAGGCATCTGTTGGTCATGCTCGGGTATTCTAATCGGTTCTCGTCACGTGCTCACCAGCGCGCACTGCGTGGACGGTGAAACCGCTGGCGCGTTGCGTGTTGGTTTCTTAGAGCGTAACGGCCGACTTCATTGGTACAATGTAATGAAGGCTTATATTCCATTAAGATGGACAGCCTCAAAAGCTCTGTCGAGCGATTATGCTGTACTGAAGTTGAGAAGGCCACCAACAAGGCGAACTTATGTTAAAATTGCATCACTGGCTTTGCGGAAAGGCTCAGTGATTTCTTTTACAGGTAAATACATAAGTATGAACTAATTATAAACTATAATTTTTGATTGACCGGAAAGCAATTTCCTTCCGTATCATCGCGTTCGTCAGAACGTATCCTAATCTGGTGGTCCTGTGGTACAAAGGCAGAAATTTTCGAGCTACCACCGGCGACTGCAAATTAGTCCCCCCCCCCCCCTGTTAATTTTTAGCAGGGGCATCTCGCCCAGAAACTGGACTCCTTTCGACTCGATTTCATTTCCATAAGTGATGAACACGGATCCGTAATCAATGATTGCCTCTAGTTAGTATCAGTAAGGTGTCCATGAGGCGAGGGGTGACCGTAAAAAACGTTTTTACTGCCTTATAGAGCCCTATCGTTGTTAAACTGTTGATTATTTCCTAAAAAAGTTAGCTGTATGCAGTATGTACCTATCAACAGAATTTGTTGGATGGGCCAAGCCTGTTTGTCATTTTAGGGTTAAGTATTTATTTGACTTATTTTTTCTTCTCAAGGATTTCCTGGGGATAAAGTTCCTAATAGTCTCTGGACCACAAAATGCCCCGTGTTTCTGGTACAAGGTGGTGTCATATATAACAAGTGTGACGCCACTCGTGGAAGTTCGGGATCGGGAGTGTTCGTAACAGACAGTAGTGGTACGAAAGTCGTCGGCGTGCTGTCGGGAGAAACAAAACGCAGTCGCCTGAATGTTGCTGTTCATTTTACGCGGCCTAAAGTAAACCAGATTAATGGGTGGACACGTAAATAAAGTTGTCAAAACTAGCGATTAAATATGAAAAGCTGTTAAAAATAAAACGAGTGATTATACAATTCTGTGTGTTGCACAAGACAGTTGATTTTCGTAGACAATTATTATTAAATGAACTCTGATCGTTCCCAGATTATTTTATTCTTATTCACAAGTAACTAATTTCATTATTGTAGCTACGAGGCCTGCCTAGACTTGTCTTTATATGGAAATTGTGAAAACAGACTCTCTCCCCACCCCTCCCCAGTCAAAAAAAAATAAAAAAAGAGATACCCCTAGATAGAGGTTGTAGTTAATAGGGACTGGTACATCGAAACATCGTAAGTTATGACGTCATATGTGGCACGGGGGGTAAGAGGGTGGTCTGTTCCAGGCTTTGCTTTCAGTCGGGAAAATTGAAAAGTAAGAAGGCGCGGGAGAAAAACCGACAGCAGAGGAGGTACTAGAACAAGTTAGTTGAGTTGTGGCTCTTTTCTACACCATAATCATATATAGTAGGTTTTTTTAGATATCGCTCTCCTAAGGGGGGTACGTACGTCCCTAGTCTTAGTATAAAATAAGGACGTTTCACGTTTTGAGGAGTAGGCCAAGTCCCTGTCGCTATTTTAAACCATCTTTACGTCGTTGTCGCCATTTCGTTTGTCTTATGTCGCTTGTCGAAATTTTACCCCAACATGGTCTGAGAAAGGATATGCAACTCATAAATGGCTATCATCAGAAATGTGGCAAAAGAAAACTGTTTATTGACTTTTCAGTAAGCAATGCTATTGTAGCATTTGTTTTCGTTTTATCAAGGAAATAGGTAATCTCTGAAAAACCATTCACCCGCGGCATTTTTCAAGCCATAAAAATAGGACTTGCTAAAAAAATCTTTATAAGCCTCAGAAAAACGAGGCAAGTTTATTTCTTTTAAAGGCCATTTGCACGATGACATCATTTGACTACAACTATGAAAATACTTCAGCATTGTTTTCTTGTGCATATTAGGGTATTGTTTCTTAACCCGTTCACTCCCAGAACTGTGTTGAGTCAAAATTTGGCAAAAAAGTTCAAATTTCATTATTATTTAAATCCGAAAAATCAAAAAGTAGTATTAAACAGTACTACGAAAAAATTTCATTTGCATGGTCATACCATAGGATTTCATCCGCAGACTCAAAAAGTTGGAATCGCTTTTACAGGAAGTAATCATTCAATGTAAGCATCAAAGAGTTAAAGCTCTTTGAGATTACAACATTTGCTAGTTGAGTTGAAGTCAAATGACTTATTGTAGAAATGGACCATAGACCTCTTTAGCTTGTATGTTTTTTTCCGATGCAGGTCATGTGATAATACTCAAGAAAACTGTTTCCTTCAAATTTCGTCTCATTAACGTGCATATGTACGCATAATACATGACAAGACAAAGGCTCAAATTTCCCCGAGACCTTCATTGGGAAAACAAAACATACAAGTTAAAAAAGTCTATTAAGCGTTCAAACCGATTTCATAGAAATCATCGCTAAGTTTTCACATACGTATCAAACCATGATGGTCACTTGAAAATGTGCCTTTGATAAAGAAAATATATTTTTTTCTTTTTCTGATACCTTCTGATTTTAGAGACGAAAAAGCAAAAAAATAATATTAATAAAAACAATAATAATAATAATAATAATAACAATATCTTTCGCTTAGCGAAAACATTGTAACTGTAAATATTTCAATGAAATTCTACATCTGATCCGTTTAAAAGAGATCAAGCCATCAAACAGTGCGGCATGACAAGTTTTTCTCACTTATAAGGTAGTAAAAACAAATGGCATAATTAACAATTATTGAATGAACCTAAGTGTGATAAAAGGAATTATACAGAGCAAGAATCCACCGACGCCGACAGCCTCCGAATTCTGCACAATTCTTCACATCCGTCATGCGAAAGCTGAATTCAATAATTGCTTTATTATTCATTCAAAATATTTCTAAGTTCGTGACAACCTTACCTCCTCGTTGAGTTTCTTAAAAACATTTGCTTGTTTCTCGGCACTGAGATGCTTTTTCTTGCAGATACTCTTTAAAAAAGTACATGACATTCATCAAGGAATAAGGGCCTGTTTACATGGAGGTGGGGGACCCCAGATAGGTGACGTAACATGTGGCTGGTCACCCCACCTAACATGTAAACGTGATCAAATTAAAAAGAGAGATAATATGGACAGGCGGGTTACCTCACCTAAGCGGGTTACCTCGCCTAACTGGGGTCCCCCACCTCCATGTAAACAGGCCCTAAATTTTTTGGCGTATTCTCGCATTTCTTCTGCTCATTTTCAGTCACGAAGGAATTCGGCTTCTTCGTCTTAAGTAAACTCTTCCGCTTTTTTTGAGTTCACTCTTGCATAAACAGGCTAGGCCGCAGCGTCGCTGCCTGGAAATGAGGCGGCTATTTAATGTAGCCTGCACTTTCCAAATATAGTCAGCGACGGCTGGTTATGAAAAGATAGCCAGAGGATTGGAGCAGAGTCAGACACGGCAAAATATTTTGAATGAATAATACTACCATTTACACTTAAAGTACATTTATCAACACGGTTCAATTTCCCATTTGGGGACCAAGGACAATGATGATGACATTCATCAAATTTAGAACCGTGATTTAGTATCCGGAAGATTCCGTAGTATCTCAAGGTTTTCCGAAGATTTCTCAAATCCTTGAAATGAACCCCCAGTGTGCATTGGAAGACGATCCGAAGTGGCTACATTTCTGATGCGGGACAAAACAATTCTGAATTTATGCTCTGTATGGGGTCTGTCTAAGATCACGGCGTGGTTAAACAATTTCTGTAAAAGTACCAATTTAGAAGCGTAATTTGATATCAGGAAGGTTCCGTAGTAATTCAAGGTATACCGAAAGTTTCTCAAATGCACCCTTGTGCGTCGGAAGACGATCCGAAGAGGCCACATTTCTGATGTGGGACCAAACAATTCTGAATTTATCGTGTCTCTGTGTGGAGTCTGTCTAAGATCACGGCGTGCGCTAAAAGATAATTAAGATGACAACAGAGGGGTTTTCGGTCACGACGAATACAGTTTGGTACTTTCCTTGATTTTCCATAACTCGGTTTATGACTATAAATATCTCGTGCCATTGTTTTAAACAAAGTCTTAACACCAAGCTTCGAACCCAAACCAATCACGCCTTGCTCGCAGTCTTTTTTTCCCGCGGTTGGCAAGCTTCGTGCTGGTGATGAATTTTGCTCGAGTTCTGATTGGTTCCTTGAAATGTGAGCATCTGTCGTGATTGGCCACTAAAAGCCAAGAGAAAATCACTTGTGCTGGTTTTACGATACCAAGAGACTCTGTTGACGATACTCTGTATAAAAAATAACGTCAACATTCCTAACAGAACTGCCTAGGTTTCAAAGCAAGCCATTGCCATCAATGCCCTCTGCTAACTCTGCTGCAATTAAACCTGGGTACATTTTCCTTGAGGTATCTGTCCGCATGTTATCCACCAATCCCACCGAGCAAAAACGGACGATATCAGAGGACACCCGAGACAAACTGTTTCCTCAAAATCTCTTGTCTCGTTACCGTTGTCGTAGTATATTTTGAACTTGGCCACCAAGGGATCCTAAGTGGTAAAACAAAGTGTCAGAAAACTTCTTACTGGGGAGCTTTAGCAACGAGGATGTCAAAAAAGCAATAAGTTTGTTAGGCAAAACAACAACTTTGCACGTGTATCACGCTTTTTTTGTACATTTCTTCGCCGTCACTACACGACTACGACGTGACACTACCTAACTTGACGTTTTATGGAGGATGTTAAAAGCGACGACGAATTTTCTTTCTCTTTCTAAACTTCAGTGCGGTGCCCAAGAAATCAACTCCTAGGAAATTCGCCTACATTTGACAATTTCAGCAAATTGGAATAAACGCGACAAAGTTTGAAAAAACACGAATCCATTTTAAAATTGACGTTTCCACTACACTCGTCGTGGGCGATGCTAAAAACAAGGTAGAGGGGTGGAGCTTTAAAATAGTCCGCGGTGGTTGTTTATCATTTACAAAAAGTTTTTGGGAAATAAAAAGCCGGAATAGAAAGTAAATGGGACGCGACTTTTCGGGTCGTTTCGGTAGAAAATTTCCGGGAGAAACGGAAAGTCTGATTTCGTGTTCCATTTCTTCAAAGCCATCTTTGATACCAGTTTCAGCCTTTCGCGGCCGTTTTCGGTAATGTAACTGATTAGTGCACATGGTAAAGGCGATTCCGGGACGAAATTCACCAGTCTTGAATTTTGCTTATCATTTGCCCAAACCGTGAACCGACCCGACCAGTTTTCCCATGTAAATAGTAAACAACCGGTGTCTCCATCTCAAAACGAAACGAGTAAAGATTAAACCAGCCAGAATGGGTTGAATAAGAGCAGAGGCTACATTTGTGATTTAGCTGTATGTCAAACATGGTGAGCAGCATACAAAATAACTCGAAATAACTCCCTGCTATTGCGGTGTCCCTAACATTCACTTCATTTTTTTTTTTCATCTTCAACCTATCACATTAATTCCTTCCGCCTTATGTTTTGGTTTGTTTCGTTTTGTTTTTCCATCAAATGTTTTGTTTCCCTCCAGGAAAAACTAAGGAGGGAATTGAACTAAAATAAAATAAAACTGATTGGTATTATTGTTTAGTAAAATCCAACTAGTGGTCTATTATCAATGCTGCGTTCTGATTGGTTGAGCTACTACTAGGCTATATGTTATAGCCCACTAGTAGCGAAAAGCGCGGGCTTTTTGGTGACAAAAAAAGGACTAAAGTCTAGCTTTAACTAGCTAAAAGTTTTTTATTCTCGATATTTTTGACCAACTAATTGTATTTTACAAAAACAATTATTCCTCTCGCCCTCATGGCCTCTGAGTCGATAGCCCATTCGGTCTTCGGCCTCATGAGCTATTGACTCAGAGCCCATTCGGGCTCGAGGAATAATTGTTTAATATTATGCTGATGTTTACACATGAAACTTCATGGTTTAAATAGCCTTGCGTAGGAGGCGCCCGTGTTTTATGGACCTCGCGAGGGGAACGCTCGAAGGGAAGAGGAGGCGCCTACAGCCTAAGGCTTAGTTTTCCGTTTTCTACGTTCTATGAGGGAGCACAGAACGTCAAAAAACCGGCGTCCGCTACGCAGGCTATGTTTAAAGAAGAACAACAACAAAAATTCTACCTCTAACTTTTGTAGTCTGTACAGCTGCACAACTTGCGTTATCGTCCCCATATAGGGATCAAGGACTTCACCAGTCACATGTCGAAGGTGAGTCATAACCGGCTTCAAAGAGAGTTAAATATATATTGTCAAGAAACAGAATATGTGAAATCAATTCCTGTTAGCAACAACTGCTGCTGGGAGTTAGCGAAATGACACAGTTTTCCTTAGTTCGGGGAAAATTGTAGACTTTCTAAAAGTCCTTTACTTTTTCCTGTTTATGCCAGTTTATGCCAGTTTCACACCTGTTTGGCGCGAAATTAACCGGTGAAAAATTCCACCGGTGACGTCATGACAATTGACCAATAGGAGAGTGAGTGATATTAGACGCCACTCCCGACATAGCATATGTCAATCATTTTTTCTCGAGTGAATTTGTAATATGATTCAAGTCCATTCACATTTCAGGCGAAACAAGTCGACGTCGCACGCTCGATGGCTGCGCGACTTCATTGAAGCTCACTTCTCTCGATTTTAGACACTTCTGAGAGGTCGACTTGTAGCAAGTCTTGTCACGCCCTTGCTTATTCTTGTGTCATGCTTGCGTCGCTAGTGTGGGCCGGGCGTCGTTTACCTTTTACAGCATATTCAACAAATCGACAACAGTTCTCCATGGTCTGTACCCTTATCGATCACAAAAATGACGTCAAAATGTTCAGAACTCAAAGTGTAACCACGAGCCGCAAGCGAACATTTTGACGTCATTTCCATTGTTGATAAGAGTATAGAGCGTTTTCACTCACGAGGCCAGCATCTATACAAATTTATTGGAACAAGAGAAAGCGTTTGCGTACGAAAAGAGTTCAAATCCCACATGATTGGTTTGGGACACCAACATGGCCGCCGTTTCATTATTTGGGACACCAATATGGCCGCCGTGACGTCATGTACAAAAAGGGGTCCTACGCATCGTTTTGCCGAATTGTCACTATGACGACGCCCTAATTCAATCTGGCATCACTGCCCTTTCCCAGAGAAGGGAGGAAGCTTGCATAAATTTTATCAAGCGTGACTGCCTGTCGTCTCCGGTACTCAAGCCATTAATTCCTTGTGTGTCAATTGACAGGCTATACTGCTTCCGTTCAGGCGAACGTGTTCCGGTGCGCCTTGTCCCCAAGACAAAGCGGTTCGCAGATTTCTGCACCATTAAGTTTCAAGACCAGTTGTAATCCAGTGCTCTGTTATTTTTTCTCTGTTATGTAGTGCTTTTAATCATATTTACATAATTATCTATTTGATTGTTTTTGTATCGTATTGTCTTCTGTTATTGTCACTGACCTTCCTTCTAATTCAGCCTTTAGGCTGCGAGAGGGATATCAATAAACTATTATTATTATTATCATACTCTATAGACCATGGAAAATTGTTGTCGATTTGTTTTTTACAATGACATTGACAGTTTTGACCTCCATTTCTGTTGAAGTTTCTCGGATAATCGCGCTCGAGAGAAAGAGAAAAACAAGTTGCGCCACCATCACGTGATTACTATGGTCTATGCTCTTATCGACCAATCAGCGCGCGAAAAATCACTCAGTTATTGTAAATATGGCATTTCAATATATGGAGAAAAGACTGTAAACTTACCGTAGGTACATCTAGTCCCATTACAACTTGGTGAAGTGTCACAGGGTTGGAGTTGCGAGCCGTTATTGCTATGTCCAGGACATTCGAAAATACTGGTCGATAATTAAAAGTGATGGTTATACCGTCTCTCTCTATAGGTCTTATATCTCCTGGAAGAACTGTAAAATAAAAATAAATTGCTCTCTGTAACTCATCATCCTGGCTGAGTTTTATTCAGTTGCCTAACAACAACAGTTAACAACTTACAAACAGTAAAGATGCGTAAAACGGGCAACAAAAAAAACGCGCAATTTGTCTTGCAACACCCAGTGCTGCAGAACAAGTTGAATAGCGATGTTGCGCGTTTTACCACCCACGTTTAAACCTGTTAACAACCTGATTTGTTGCAAGACAGGTTTGATTTAGGTTGTAAAACGCGTAATATCGCTATTCAACTTGTTCTGCATCAATGTTGCAAGACAAGTTGCACGTTTTTATTGCCCGTTTTTTACGCACCTTAACTTACTGTAAGTTGTCTGTGAGTGTTAAGTCACATTCTCTCACAGGCTGGCGGCAAGACTCTACAAAGTTAAGTACCACGCTGACGGTAAACGGCAGGGATGGCCATACGATTGCTACTGTTTCAGGAAACGATTAAAAAGAAAAGTTCGCACTCACGCAATTTATGAGCACGAAAACACTCCTCTTCACCTTCAAATCGGGCAACAAACGACACGCGTAATAATCAGTAGGAAAAATGACCTTCTCTGCTCATTTGCCGTTTGTCTGAAAGGTGTTCAGGCAAACTTTCACATAAAATTTCACATTTTAAAACTGCAAGGTACTGAATAACCAAAGCACCAATTTTCGTCCTCTTAGTTCACACGGCTTGATTTTGCCAAGAAACTAAAAAACTAGGACCAGTTTATGCCGTATAAATAAACACTACCGCGTGGAAGTACTGCTGAGGTTAGACTAGGCACACCATAGGATTCAAATTAAAGAACTGCATCTTGTCTTTGCGAATTACTCTGAGAGTGAAATTGTAACTGTGGCACGGGCAGAAATTTGATGACTGCAGAAAGAAAACAGTCAATACCGTATCCACTCGAACAAGCGGCGCCTATTTAAAAGTTGGACGAGACAAAGAATTGTTTCAAATACAGAAGTATTATTTTCCGTATTAAACTAACAGAATTATCGTCTTCTGATTTTGATTATATCGGGCCGTGCCGCTTATTTACTCGAGTTAATACGGTACACTCACAGTGAGCTTGGTTCCAGAGCTGAATCCTTTCTTCAAATTCTCTTGGACGCACTGTAGGGATAATGGGATCTGTTAAGCGGCAATCAGCCACTGCATCAGATTCATGGCAGGGTCGCTGAATAAGGCTTCGAGTGCTTTCCCTGGTAACATCTGTGAAAATATACACAGCTATATGCACGAACTCATAGCAGCTATAATAATACCTAAAACTATTCACTAATTCTCTTTTTTTTTTTTAGCAAAAACAAAAAGGCATTTGACAAAGCTAAATCCCGGTGGTCTCCTTTCCGTCAAAATGAAAATTTAACTTATCTTTTTTGTCCTCAGAATGTTCCAAGTTAAAAAGTGCGACAATCGCCATGCAAATTTTCGTTACAGTAACTGAGGCTGATAACACTGAACGTCATTACCAGCCACATTCCACAAATATTCCTAACACCAGGGAGTGGGGCTGTTTTTTTTTGTGGAATTTTCACCCAATCACCTCTTGCTAAAATCACTTTGTAATTCCGATCTTTTCGCCCGGAATTTATTCGTCGTTCGGTGCGCAGTTTGCTGTGTAGTCAGATAAGTCGGGACGAAACGACCGCAGTTACTGTTAACTCATTTTTCATAATTTGTGAACAGAAAACAAAGGATTGTGCACGGTCAGGGAGCTCCCAACTTAACCTACAGCACCATTGTTTTCAACTTTGATGTTTGCCGGGTTTTCTAACCAATTTCCTCTTCTAACTATGGTTTAACTAAGCAACTCTTCCTTCAACATACCACGTGCCACATCCATAAGAATAAGCTCTATCCTCTCGTTTCGTGTTAGGTGGTTTAGCAAATGAAAGGCATATAAACCATTTCTTTTACCCGGCGCCTCATATGCTTCATGCTGAGAACAACTGCCGCCAAAATAAACCAAAATTAACCAAATAAATACATCAACAAAGATACAAATAATAATAATAATAATAATAATAATAATAATAATAATAATTAATTTTATTAAAAAAACTATTAGAATCCTAATAATTAATATTTTAAATAAATAATAATAATAATAACAATGTTAACTATTAAAATCCTATTTACAATTAACTCGCTTAAAAAACTATTCCGTCAAACCACTATTTACAATTCCTTTTGATTAAAAAAAAACCACTTAATTTTGATAAGAAAAAGATTCATTTAATTAAAAAAATTATTCGAATTAAAATTATTTCATTTCAATTAAAACAATCCATTTCGATTCAAAAAACTATTTTCAAGGTTAAACGCATTCTTACTAAGAAAATTACTAAAAAAGGAAATTAAATAGCGTTCTCAATGCCTTATTAATGAATATTTGCGTGTCCTTTTTCAATATCTAAGTCAACGTCCGACAATTCTAAATTGACTACTGCTACTACTACTACTACTACTACTGCTGCTGCTATTGCTACTGCAACTGCTACTGCTACTGCTGCAACTGCAACTGCTGCTGCTGCTAGTGCAACTGCAACTGCAACTGCAACTGCTACTGCTACTGCTACTGCTACTACTACTATTACTGCTACTACTGCTGCTGCTATTGCTACTGCAACTGCTACTGCTACTGCTGCAACTGCAACTGCTGCTGCTGCTACTGCAACTGCAACTGCAACTGCTACTGCTACTGCTACTGCTACTGCTGCTGCTGCTACTGCTGCTGCTGCTGCTGCTGCTACTGCTACTGCTACTGCTACTGCTACTGCTACTGCTACTGCTACTGCTACTACTACTACTACTACTAATAATAATAATAATCTACAAAGCACGCCATTGGAACTTTGATGATCTAACACTTACCAAGAGTAAGCAAAAATGTTGTTTCCTCTAGCTCCTCTTTTGCAATATTGCACAGACCCACCATTATTGGGCAATCTGTTAACACAAAGGGAATTCGCTACTTTAGAAACTGGAAGAGAAATTGGTCTTGCTTGACTGTTTGCCATACCTGTTTGGGTAGTGAAAATGGGCCCCAAAAGCCATACAAATTCCATAATTGGTAACATTTTCGTGTCACAATATTGAAGAAATCAGACTCTAGACTGATCAAAGGTGAATTCGTAAACACCAGAGTTCCTCTAGGTTTGTTCATGCGAAATCGTGTGCGTGGCTGTTTACGCCTGCTCAGCATACTTGTCAGGCATGTGCTGGAGAAATTTCTTTGCCCTTTAGTGTCTGTAAGTTTGATGTTAAAATTTTCTCCTCAGTGACACAAGTGGATCGAACGAAACTCTTGAATAGTTGCATGAACAAACTTAAAAGTACTCTGGTGTTTACAATTTTACCTTCGACCAGTCCACAGTCTGATTTCTTTGGTTGGTACATTTTTCGTTTTGTTTTGTATTGCTAACATGCTAAATTAAGGAATTCTTTGGTTTTTTGGAGCCCATTTTCACTGAAAACTCATCTTGAGGTAAGCTCTCATGCACGAGCCAGACAGGTACGGGAACAGTCGAGTTTGCAGGTAAACTCCTTCATATTAGAAGGTCATGAAAGCAGTGCGATAGATCCTGGCCTCCGATTGGGCACAC